CGGTGTTTCGCCCTGGCATCCCGAAGCAAGTGTTGCACCCAAGACTTGGGATTTAGAGGGTCCCATGATCAAGTCTTGTGGTACTAAGGGGTGTTAGAAACCTGAAGGCTTGGTGTGCTTGGCTGCTTGTGCTTGCGGGGAGTGTAGCCGAACCTTAAGTCTAGTCTAACCCGGGGAGGGGGATTGGGAGAGATTTGGGAATCCGTGGATGGATGGCTAACACTCCGTTGCTTATGTAGTGAGTAGTTGAAACCAAGTAAGACCAAGTAGGAGCTGGTACCATAGGAGGGAACCTTGGCGAGGGAACTTAGCAAAAGTCAAGGCAGTGTTGGATGGATAGACGAGGTAAGCTAGCAAATTGGAAAGAAAAAATTTGTGGCTTACACTAACTAACAAAGTTGAACATAAGACCCCTCCTAATACCAAATGTAAACTTTTGAATTTAGACTTCTTGGGAGATCACTCAGCTCAATACTATTTAAACCCAAAGACACTTAACCCTAATTACCCCAAAACCCCTAACTAATTGGAAAAAAAGGGTGCACTTTTATTCATGGACCCTTTACCTTTCAATGGATCATTATTCAAGTTGTTCTCTTTGGATACTTATAATATTTAACCCAATAAGTAGTTTCTATCTCATTATGTTTTGCATTAACTAATGATAAAACCCTTCTGCATTAAGTCTAATCCCTTAAAATTACTATATTATAGTTTATTGTATTTGCAAGACACCTATATATTAGTTATATTTCAGTCCTATATGCTATTTATGGTAAGTGCTATAATCTGCTAGTGAGGCATAGATGTCTTGAACCCTATTGTGTTGTTCTTATGTCCCAATTCATAATCTAGCACAGTTCCATATTTAATAAGTGTTCAAGCTTATCCTAGAGACTAACTCCTAGGATTGGGGTGAAAGCCCAAAACATGCTTTTATATAGAGGAATGAGGGGTTATATGGGGGTTTAAATGTATTGTAGGGATAGTGGTTGGAAGTATAGTCATGTAATTAAGATATTAATTTAACTTTTACTAGGTTATATCATTCCTTGTTTTGCATCTTTCTTGGGCCTAAGCTCAAGTTCTATATTGCTCTAGTTGATGGGGTACCCAACTCCTTGCATTAGACCACTGGTATGCCAAAATTGTGTTAAACACTGTTTGACATTATTTTGCATGTAGAAGTTGGATATAGGGAACTATTGCTCGTAAGGGGTTTTGAGTGTGTACCAAATCTCATTTTATAGTGCAACTTGTTTAGAATTTAGCTCTAAATTCATATGTGCTATAAGTTAGGCGTAAATATTCATAAGGCTTTAAACTGAATATTTTGATTTATAAGAACATGTGTGGATATTCACTAAACCCCCAGATAGTAGAGTGGACACAAGGTCATAAACTGATCTTGCTAGGAACTACTTATCTTGCCAAAGTGCCACCATACCTTATTGAGAGGGCCAAACATGACTATTTACAGATGACTTTTAAAATATACTTTGAATATTCTTAGAGGACATCTAAATATTTTAAAATTACATTCAAATATTAGATTAATATAAGACAATAAACTTGTAGTAAAAGACTAGGAGTAATGGATATACCCTAGCTAATGTAGTACTTCAAAGCTTCTTTCAAAGTTTTAATTGAATATTTATATCAAGATTATGAAAGCATCTTACATTCTTATCACATTGAACTTTTTAATAACCTTCATTCAAGAATTTAAAGATATTAATAGTATAAGCTAATATTTTAGGTTTTTCTTTGTTAATTCCTTTTCAATTTTAGTGTGCTATATAATTGTCCAAAATTTATTTTGCTTGAAGGTAAAAACCTTAAAGAAAACTTCCAAATGAAGTGGAATTAAATTTAGCCTACATTTTAGCAAATGTAAATGGGAACATTGAAGATATTAAAGTGAACTCAGATGATAATGGTTATTTTATACGTTCATGTAAGTGTAAAACTCTTGAAGAATCAATTTTAAAAACCAATTGTGCTTCAAAAACCTTTTATCTTCATATTACACTACTATTGACTTATCAAAATAAAGAGTAGCGACTTATCATTCTTGTTTTTATAAGCTTGCACTATAAGCTATAGTTGCAACTCTTGCCTCATTTTCTTTTTTTGCAGCTCCAAACTATTGTTGTTAATGATTAAACCATACATAAAACTTATCTTGTTTCATTAGACAAAAAGAGACCACCAATACCCAGTTAGAATGTCAATATCCCAGAAATTTATTTCCCAAATGAAGCATGCCTTTTCTTGTTCTTTTTGTTATATATCCAGAAAGCAAACACCACTTTTGATGCCTAGGCCCATAGTTGTAGACGAAGTAGCAGGCTTGATTGCTGTTGCTGGGAAAATCATAAATGTTTTTGAAATGACAGCAGCAAGTTTTACTTAAAGTTCCAGCTGGTTCTTTCCAAATTCCATGGCGATAGCAAGGTTGTGAGATTTGGAAGCTCCAGCAATGGTGATTCTTCTTCTGGGCAACATAGAGTTTAAATACAAGATTAATCTTATTGCATATTAACTTGTTCAAGATTAATCTAAATGAATAACTGATAGAATATCCTAGAATCTTCAAGTAGGTTTGCTTAAGAAAAACAAAATGTGGCATTTAAAATACCATATAAACATCTAAATAAAGATACAATAATACCACCATATAGAATATGAAACTAATATTAAATTATCCTATTAAAAGCTTCAGTCACTCTCAAATCTTTAATTATGAATATCATAGCCTATATTCTTATCATATGGAATTTTTTTATAATATTAATTGAAGATTTTAATCAAATTGATAATTTAATTTAATTTTTTATATTTTCTTGTTAATTATTTATTTTTGTTTAGTGTTATATATTACTATATCACTGCTCAAATTTGAAATTAATTGAAGCTAATATTTTACAAAATGATTTTTAAATAAAGTGATTTTATATTTAAATATATATTTTACAAATACTAATGGGACATTGAAGCTATTGGTGTTTTTTCACAATTTAATGGGTGCGTTACACATGTTAAGATTCAACTCTTGAAGAATCCATTTTGAAAACTAATTGTCTTTCAAAAACATTAAATCTTCATCATACTTCTATTGATTTGAACTTATGGATTTCTTATTAAAATAAGAATTCATTTTTTCTGTAATAAAAATAAAAATCAATAAAAGTTTTACCATCTATCATTTTGTGTAAATAAAAGTATTTCAATAATCTGAAAGAAAAACATCTTATTATATTATTAAACACATTGTTACACCCAATATGTTGTTCTTAACCCATATTGCATGCAAGGATATCCTATGTCACAATTAACGTGCCAAAATATTACTCCATAATCGTGTACGAATATGCTGTCTGTTCACTTATATATGACACATTCTGAAATGCATCATAACCAAAATAATGTGCTACATTTTACTGTCAAATTTTCTTTATCCTTGAGGGTTACTTTTTTCTAATTCTTGTTTCCTAACTGACAGTGAAGATTTATGTCACTCCCAGAATAATTAGTGATTATAGCTTCATTTGCAACCACTAGAAGGATTGAAAACATTACCCAAGATGCTAAAAGAACCAAAACTCTCGTCATTCCTAGTAAAATATGAAGCTTTATTTCTCAAGTTTTCGCATCAAATGGGGCTCATAGCAATGCTACTGCTCTTCCTCCTTTCACAAGTCCATCAAAGCGTATGTACAGAAACACTTGAAGAGTCTGAAGAAATACCTTTGTGATCGTTCTTTTGTTTGTCATTCAATCAGTTGTGCTGCGGTGCCTTCTTCTACAGCTGCAAGAACCCCAAATACTTTCTCGATACCGACATTCTCGAAGCCGACTGCTCTGGAGATACCCCAGCACGGACACTGCTCGATAACAAACACACTCACAAATCTCAGAGGAAGCCTGGCTTATGGTAGAGAAGGTGGTTTTCGAGTCTCTTGCAGCAACATCACTCTTGTTGGTTCTAATCTAAAGGCTCCCTGTGACACGAGAGGCGCAGATGGTAAGCCGACTGGACCGCAATTCGTACATAAGCAACGGCCATGGAAACTTCGTCATTTGCAGCCGCTACAGTTAGTACACTAGCGCGTAGTCCTCTAGTACATTGAGAGAAGCACCAAAATCAGAAAGAATAAGCTCGAAAAGGATTTGCCTTTCAAGCTCTGTGATCGTTGTGTTCACGGCTTACATGGGGGGCTGGACGAGCATTTAAAAGTTAACGATCCGCTGCTTACTCAGGCATTTGTAAGTCGTCCGTATGGTAGAGCTCGGTCCTTGAATCAATCTATAGAAAACAAGCTTAAGCCACTGTCCAGAGAAAGGTTGGAAAAAGAAAACTGACGATCGTACCTTTCTTGCTTTCGAGAAGAATCGGCATTTAGCTCCAGAGCATGGCATTTCGTGAGATCGCGACGAGAAATGTTAGGTAGATCTCTCGCTCCACAATGACAGTGTGAGCACTGCAGTGTCTGAAGAACTGGCCAGTCCTTGTCGAAGAAGTAAATACAACTTAAAAAACTTCGCTCTGGAAAAGAAGAACGAAAAATGTAAGATAACGAAATCTGCTGCAAATACTAAAAACATGCAATCAACAGGCAGCCAACCTCTCGACTTGATGGCAGATGCTGTCACGGCTTCAAAATTTCTGAAACAAGTCAGCCGTGTTACTTTCCTGCTCCGAAAGTCACTCTGAAAGAAAATTAGATCGCAACTCACCTCCTCAGTAAAAGCTTAATGGTGGCTTGAGTAGTGCGCTTTAGACTTCAATGTATGGCTGTCTTTTCGACTGGTTGCTGTTGCTGTTGTCTTCTTTCACCGCATTCATCCGGAATCAATTCCTGGTGCGTTCCGACACAAAATTGCTGGCCACGGCCTCGTATCGTATGCCAGTCAACTGAGGAGTGGGGTGAGTGAGCAATCCCAAAAAGTGGAGGATTCGCTTTCACAACCACGTTATATTGGCTCGCCCCTCCTCTGTAAGCTGTGCCAGGTTGCACCGCTGGTGTGCACTCGTCTCGCCTTCTGAAGTACCGGTCACTCACGAAAAATGTCTAAGGATCCATAAAAACGTCGGTGAAACAGCATTCTCCAAGTTTTTTTCGTCGCTTGGTGCGCTCGCTCCATTGAAATCCTGTCGATGGCATGCCAGTAAACTTTCTCAGAGAGGAAGGAAAGAAAGAAAACAAAAAGCTTTACCTTTATAGGAATCGTTGAGCCACTCTGTACAAAAGGCTGGGGAGTGTATTTTATTCGTCCATTACAACACCCCGCCTCCGGCCTGCCTGCATTGCCAATCTGCACGACTTAATGTGATGCAATGGAGCTTGCTGGATGTACCTCGCTATAGGTGCCCCGCTCTCCCAGCCATTGCCAGCCAAGGTCGGAGGAACTGGGCATCGTTGGCACTGCTCCTCCGCAATCAATATTCCTCCTTATACCGCTGGAAATATAACTTCTCCACTTCTCCTCCTACCAGGGGTCGTGACAAACTCGACCGAGCTGGAGGAACCGCAGGAGCAGCAGAGCAGCAGCATCATCTCAGGAGCCCGAGCTCTTGTCACAATCCTCGAGAGAGTGAAAGCGCGCCACTCCAAAGTGAGTAATACTCCTCCTCCTCCCTTCTTTCTCATCTCTTTTCGCTGATAATTACGTGTACCTCATCGCTCTCGTGGAGCGGTGACTTGTGTGTGCCTTTTCTTTCAACGAGAGCATTGAAGCGCTCTTCCCTGCTTGCCTCCTTTCCCTCTCTTCGATCTCCATTCTCTTCTGCTTGCAGCATCTCCCTCGTGTAGGTCACTCAGGCTTCTTCTTCACTTCCTTGATGATGATCTGCGTCACTCCAGCTGGTTGCCACCATGTTTGGAAGAGGTTGTAGTTGCCATCCAAGTCTTCTCGGAGCCTATGCATCTCCCTCGCGTTGCTTCCAGCTCGTTTAGCCGAGCGTAAAGTTGTAACTTCGCCTTTGCAGGAAAATGGGGGATCGCTTCCGCCTGCTGCTCATCATTGCCTCGGTTCTCAGTCTCGCAGCTCTCACCAGCAATGTATATGCGGCTTTGCCTCTCTTCGTCTTCGGTGACTCGCTCGTCGATTCAGGGAACAACAACTTCATTCCGTCCCTGGCCCGAGCTAACTTCCCACCAAACGGGATCGACTTGCCGTCCCGAACAGCAACCGGTCGCTTTGGCAACGGCAAGATTGTCTCCGACATCATAAGTAAGTCCACCCGTATCAGTTCGTCATTGCTTCAACGATTCATCCTTGTCCAGGCGACTATATGGGAGTGCCGTCGGTCCTCGAGATCCTCAGTCCATTCGCAAGAGGAGCAAATCTTCTCAGAGGTGCAAACTTCGCCTCGGCTGGCGCTGGAATCCTAGAGGATACGGGAGTAATCTTCGTAAGTTCGTTACTGGTCCGATTCTAGGAAAGAAGTTACCTTGAGAGTTGTTTTCTTCGCTTGTGGAAAACAGGTCCAGCGCTTGACCATTCCGGACCAGTTTAGACTGTTTCAGGAGTACAAAGGTCAAATAACATCGCTCGTTGGCCCTGCTGCGGCAGCCAGGATCGTAGCTGACGGCCTCTACTCGTTCACCATCGGAGGAAACGACTACATCAACAACTATCTATTGCCGGTCTCGGTTCGAGCGGCTCAGTTCTCTCCCGCGCAGTTCAACACGCTGCTCATCGCCACTCTGCGGCAGCAACTCAGAGTAAGCATCTCCATCAATCCAAACAAAAGCTTACCCAAGGAAAAAAAAATGGCAGACCGTCTACGCTCTCGGTGCACGCAAAGTAACCGTGGGAAACATCGGACCGATCGGATGCATCCCGTCGCAGCTCTCGCAGCGCAGCCGGGACGGGCAGTGCGTCCAGCAGCTGAACGACTACGTCCTCAACTTCAACGCGCTGCTGAAAAACATGCTGGTGGAGCTCAACCAGGAACTTCCAGGAGCACTCTTTGCCTACCTCAATGGTTTCGACATTCTCAAGGAGTACATCGACAATCCTGCGCAGGGAGGTAAGATCAAAACCATCTCAATCCACAAACAAAGACAAGAACAAGAGAAAAGAACGAGAAAGAACAAACATTGCCACTACTTACTTTGTTCTTGCAGGCTTTGCGGTCTCCAACAAGGCGTGCTGTGGACAGGGGCCGTACAACGGTGTGCTGGTGTGTACGGCGCTCTCGAATCTCTGCCCGGACAGGAGCAAATATGTGTTTTGGGACGCGTTCCATCCCTCCCAGTCCTTCAATTACATCTTCACGAATCGAATCATCAATGGCGGCCCCAACGACATCAGCCCCGTCAATCTGGCGCAAATCCTTGCAATGCCGTGAGACGATTGATCACGCCCGCGCCCTGGGTAATGCGAGAAATAATCTGGGGGAAATCATTCAGTCAATCAATCGAGAGATACAGGAAGCACAGTAGGAGCTAAGATCTCACCGTGAGAAGCTACATTTTCGTAGGCGCGGTGGATCGATTCAACCATGTCTTTGCAAAGAACAAGAAGCGCTAAAACCCTAAAATTCACCGAGGCATATTCTAGAATAATCACACGGAGTTGTACGAAAACCCTTCCTATCACACGAATGTACGGTAACTGTTACAGGCAAAAAGAGAATCTCGTACGGCTTTAAAGTCTCAAGAGAGAAGAGGCTTTCTCAGGGCACCGGGAGAGGCTTAATGCCCCATATTTCATTCGCGTACTCATGGATGGTTCGATCGCTGCTAAACTTTGGAGATCCCGCGACGTTCATTATAGACATCTTGGTCCATCTCTGCAAAAAATCACGCACAAAGTTTAGCCTTGTTTTCCTGTAGAAAACTTTCGTACCTCTTTGTCCCTGTAAGCTTCGTCGACTTTCTCTTGGCACTCGATATAGTCCGGAAAATCCTTTCCGACTAAGAAGTAATCTCCCTGGCCGAATCCGCTGTTACCTTCAAGCGTGCTTAGCAATGGTGTGTAGTCATAGCCACCAAAGGCACCACTCTTTATGAAATCCATGGCTTCTATGAATCTCGGGTCAGGCTCGAACTGCATTGTTAAAAAAAAGGTTTCGTCCCGCATCGCAAAAACTGGGAATCCCGTACCTTGCCTTCGGCCCTCTCCTTTCTCAAGTTTGCAACCTCATGAGCAAATGCGCCAAAGAGGAAGAAGTTGTCTTCGCCAACTTCCTCGCGGATCTCGACGTTGGCACCATCGAGAGTGCCAATCAAAACAGCTCCGTTCATCGAGAATTTCATGTTGCTGGTTCCACTAGCTTCCATTCCCGCCGTACTACATCATCAAAAGGAAGATATCCAGTTCAAACAGAAGAAAAGAGCGAATGGTATGTACCTGATCTGTTCTGAGAGCTCACTCCCTGGAATGAGAATTTCTGCAACACTCACATTGTAGTCAGGAACAATGATCACCTGAAAAACAGAAAGAAAATCGGTGTATATCTGACCTCAAAGACAAGAAAGAAAAATTACCTTCATCAGGTCGCCAATATCCGGGTCTTTGTTCACAGTATTGCCAACGTCCGTGATGAGCTTTACAATTCGCTTGGCATTCCAATACGTGGCAAAGGCTTTGCCACCAAAGAGGGTCACACGGTTTACGTACTTCGCTTTCCTCTCTTTTGGACTCATTTCTTTCATCTTTTTGTAGCGGTAGATGCATCCTAAAATGTTTAGCAGTTGACGCTTGTACTCGTGGATTCTTTTCACCTGTTAAATAGTCTTTTAGTGAGAACCTCACATGGTGAGACAATAAATCCACTTGCCTGCGTGTCGAACAGCGAGTCTGGACTAATAACGAGTCCAGTTTGCTCCTTGATGTATGCTGCGAGCTTAGATTTACATGCTCTTTTTGCCGCTGCCCAGTCTTTAATCAATTCCTTGTTATCGACCATCTGCAAAACCTCAAGATCGCAATCAGCATTAGATAGCAAAAACAAGGAGAAAAGTGTTACGTCTTTAAGCCTGGCAAGCTGATCAGTTTTTGCAACCCATTCTTCGCTTCCAAGGTACTTGGTGATAACTTTGCTAAGCTCCGGGTTACAGAATCTCATCCAACGACGAGGAGTAACACCATTGGTCTTATTTTGAAACTTCTCTGGCCAGAGCTGCACAATCACAAACCTCAGCCAACAATCTAAAGTAGAGAAAACTTGACAAATAACTCTACCTTGTAGAAATCATTGAACACTTCGTCCTTAACAATCTCGCTGTGAATGGCGGCCACTCCATTGACCTTATGACCAGCAATAACGCACAAGTTTGCCATTCGGACAAGCTCTGGTGCTGGATTGAACTCGTCGTCGTCCTTACCATGCTGGTGAGGAACCGAGGACTTCACGGACTCGGGCAAGGCCACATTTTCAAAAACTCGCATACTCAAGATTTTTTTCTCAATCTCCCCTTTGTCGATTCCGGAAGTTATCAGTGTTTTAATAAACTGAAGCCAGAGAGTCACGGGTCAAAATCAAACTAATCTGACAACTTTCAACCTCTTCGTCGATTCTGTGGATGATCTCTATATGTCGAGGCAGTAGCTTTTGCATAAGATCCAGCGGCCACTTTTCCAATGCTTCCGGGAGTACAGTGTGATTGGTATACGCCACAGTCCTGCGAAAGAAAGGAAGTCAACAGAACGTTTAGCAAATTGTAAACTTACGCCTGAGTAATTTTCCAGGCCTCTTCCCATGCGAGGCCCTCGATGTCCACCAAAATTCTCATCAACTCGGGAACACAAAGTGTAGGGTGCGTGTCATTCATTTGAATGGCAACTTTGGAAGAGAATTTGGACCAGCTGAACCCGCTTCCAGACCGCTCCTTAAAGCGAGCAATCATGTCCTGTATCGAAGCCGAGCACAACGTGTACTGTTGCTTCAATCTGAGGAGTTTTCCTTCGGGCGTTGCATCACCCGGATACAAAATATTACAGATCTGAAGAAAACAAAATATTTAATGGAGACCATCAACAAACGCAAAAAATTAAAAAACAAAAACTTACCCTCTCTGCGCTGTAAATGGCTCTTCCAGCCTTGTCATGTTCACCAGCATTGAACGAGACGAGATCAAAATCCTCAGCGGCTACTGTAGTAGACCACAACCTCAAACTGATAGTGTTCTTAGTTTTGTAACCGGGAATCGGAAGGTCGTAAGCAACAGCTCTAATATCCTCGCCTCCAACCCACTTCTTCTTGCCTGACTTGCTTGAAATCACCCGTCCAAAAAACTTTATCGGATACCAAACATCGAACCTCGGTATCTCCCAAGGATTTCCAGCCTGGAGTTGTAGGAAACCAAAAGCAGAATATCAGTCACAACGTCAATAAACTGTAAAGCTGTTGAGCACCTCAAGCCAGCTTTCTGGCCATTCTTGCTGTCCTTCATTTGTGATCTGCTGACGGAAGAGACCATACTTATAACGAAGTCCGTAGCCCCATGCAGGGTAGTTAAGTGTTGCCAACGAATCCAGGAAGCAAGACGCTAATCTACCAAGACCTCCATTTCCTAGCGCGGCATCAGGTTCCTATTCAAAATACCAGCAAGATAATAAGAAAATCCAGTCTGTGAATTCACTTTTCAAGTACCTGAATCGCTACTTTCTCGAGGTCGTGGCCGAGCTTCTTCAAGGCTTGTGCATAAGAGTCAGTCAATCCCATATTTCCAATTGCATTCGTAAGAGCTCTGCCCTACAAACAAGTTCAGCACTAACTCAAAATATGAGCAACTCACGAGTCGAACAACAACGGAAAAGTTACCTGAAGAAACTCCATGGACAAGTAGTGAATGTGCTTGGGATGTTGCTTCTGAAAGTGCACAAACGTCTCGTTCCATCTTTTCACCAGATGGTCACGCACGGACTGAGCCGCTGCATAGTACGCCTGCTTACTCTCAAACTTGAGAGGATAAAAGAGAGGCTTGTAATCAACATGGTATTTCAAATTCGCAGCGATTGATGCAGCATCCTCCCCAGCTAGACAACCTGCAGTAACAAAATTCATCAGCCACAAGCAAAACAAATCTCTAAGCGTTTTCCACGAAAACCAGGAAAGTCACCTTGTAACTTACACAATCCTTAGCAATCCTTAGCACAGAACTTTCAACCAAAATAAAAATTCAACAGGAAGAAAAAACTTGGAAAAAGGTGGGAAGGTTTAGCACTAACGCTAACATAGACTACACTTAAAACTAAATGAAAGCTATCGAGAAAACAAAGAGTTCCAGCACCATGAGGAACGAGCTATCATCAAAACATGGAAGGGAAAGGAGAGATCACCTTTCTCAGAAGCGGCTTGAGGAGGCCTCGGCTTTGCTGCCACGCTGCGAATTCGTAGCGATTCGATCGGGGGCCTCAGAAGTAAACCCGGGCGCCGCGTCGCCGTCAATGCCAGCGGCGTCCCACAAATGCTGGTCTTCTTGGCTGCCGAGCAAGAAGAAGCGGACGAGGAGGAAGAATCCGCCGCTCTAGGTCTGGCGCTGTTGATCGAGCACAGCTGCGCCACTCCCCCATGCAAAATCACCCCCATTGTGCCCATAGCCGCGCTCCAATCCGATCAATCACGCCCGATCGATCGATCCCTCAATGCATACCTGATCCGGCCGAGAATCCCTAGAAATCCCTGGCGAGAGGAGGGCTAGAACCGGCGATCGTCGCCCTTCTCCAGTCCCCCCATCTTGTTTGTATGGCGCCCCTTCGCACTGCTAACCACCATTTCTCATGCGCCAAAATATCTGGGTCGTGGATGCGGCATATTCTCGAATAAAGTGGGCGAATATGCTCGCCTCCAATCTCAGCGTCCTGCCAAGGGACATGTGAAGGCAGTATCTTCGGTGTATTAAACTATGGTGTCAGTGAGTTTGCAATGTCTATCCATGCATTGCAAATTATAAATAATTCGATCCTTGTCAGTCGAGATATGGAGATCGCCTGAAACAAAATCTTTGTTGAGGTGACGTAATATTATGCGCATTTTGTTAAAATCAAACTTTTAAATATTTATTAATTCCACTTGTCAGCAGTTAAATTGACCATTTCAAAGTATATAAAAGTTTTATATATTTATATTTCGAGCTTTTTATTGCGTATCTCCATTATTTTCCACAACACGAAGAACAAGCTCTCTTAGAAAGCACCCACAAGAGTATCCAGGATGGACTGGCCATGGCGCTTCGGCTGACTCTCCTTCCTGGGAGGGAAGATATAAGCATCCTCGGATCGCGCATCTTCGAGCTGCTGCTGAGTCTTCTCATCGATCTGGAATGCAGAAGACAGGACTTGACGAGGAATTCCACGGTAGACAGAGTTCCTTCCGGCCATGTAGGACTCGATCGGCCTGTTTGTTCGATCACAAAGACGAGATCAAGCTCAAAGTTCCAGATAAATGATTCATGACTTACTGATCGTTCGTAAAGATGGAGTAATAGTTGAGACCCTGCTTTCCCGCGAGCTTGGCAGAGGGATGGTTCGCAGGGACGATCACAAGGCTTCCCTCCTGGACAGGCTCGTCAAGAGCTTGCTCTCCACTGTCCCGCGCAACTTGGACCCTTCCATCTCCCCTCTCCACGTACATCACCTTGTGGGCATTCTGGATCCATCCAGGCGCAGTGAGAGCTCCCTAGATCACGAAAGCCCAAGATCAAATTAAACCAAAGATCAAGAAAGTTAGGAGAAACCCACGGCTTCCATCTTGAGGTAAGCGGCACCCATGTTGAGCTTCTTGAGGATCGGGAGCTTGAAGCTATTGAGGAGGCGGAGCTCTCCGGCGTCGCGGACGCGAACGTCGGGCTGGAGGTGAGACCAGCGGTAGACATAGTCGATGAAGATGTTGTTGCTGTGGGTGTTGCCGGGGAGAGACATCTTCCTCTTCTCGTCAACTTTGATGATCGCCACGCCATTGCCCTCGAGCATGCTGTCCACGATTTGCTCTTCCACATCGAAAGCATGGGACAGTATTTGCTTGGAGAAGCCATGGAGAACGCTCGCGTAGTTCTCCTTCTTGCCACCAGCGAGCAAGAACACCTGTGCACAAACGAAAAGAGTGACTTAGAATTTGTCGAGAGATTCTCAAAAGAGATCTTTACTTTGAAGCGACCACACTGGGCGCTGTTCCTCGTCTCGGCAACTTCTAAAACCTCGGTGCGCTCTTGGCCATCGTTGAAGATCCACGAAGCAGTGCCGCGAGGAAGCGCGATGGCGTCGCCAGCTCTCACATGAAACACCGTGGATCGGTCGATAATCTTGTCAGCGAGGGGATTGATCACTCCAACCTTGGCACTCCCTGCAAAAACGAGAAACACCAAAACTTAGAACGAGATGATCGACAAAAACACTTTCCAGACCTCGAACGATGATACTAAGGACAGGGGAATCCTTGTAGAAAGGAACCGCGAGGCCATTCGTCTCGAGAATGAGCTTGCGAGCTCCAATCTCGGCATCGCACATAGCAGGATTGCTCCTCGGATCCCACTCGTGGATTCTTCCACCCTCGGAGCGGAAGATCTCTCGCGGATCGCCCAGCTTGAGATCCTCAAACTTTCGGCGGCGATCCTTATCGTCGCGGCGATCGTCCTCGCGGCCAGCCACGGACTGACCCACGAACAAAGCTAGAAGCAAAAGACACACAAAAGCTTTCATCCTTTCTTTTCTCTTTACTTGCAATATCTAGAGGAGATCTGGATGAGGAGGAACGACGACGCTCGCCTCCAATTTATAGTACCCTGAATCCAATGCAGACTGAAATGCAAACCAAGTGTTGCATCGCCATTGCTTGCATGGCGCTCGACTACATGTCATCACCTCCAGTATGTATCTCGACGCATATTCGCAGGGAAACAAAAAGGTTGGCAGCAGCAATTTTGTATCTTGCATGGAGATATACCTGCAAGTTGGCAGCTGGATTATGTTAGAACAAATAACTAATAACTTCAATATAAAGATGAAAATATCGCTTCAAGATCAAGATGAAAATAAAAAAATACAAATAGAAGATATTAATTTATAAAATAGTGTCTTAGATTTTTTTTCCGCTAGTATTTTTTCTCTATTTTAAAATCAGAACTGCTTACATGCATCCATAATGCAGACCATGTAAGTTAACACCAAACGACGTGAACTTTCGAAAGTCAATTCGTACCATGTTTTCCAGCAGACTATTGTAAAGTGGCGAAGCCAGGCCGATCCTTCTATAAACATTGGAGCTTACCTTTCCGCACACAATAATGCAACTTCTCCAAGGATCATAAAAGCTTTTTGCAAAAGCGTGGCAGCTCAAACGCCAAACTCCCAATCTCAAAAACATTCATTCCAAGAGAAACTTCAGGAATTGCTAGCAGATCTCTACTAAAAATGACATGCCTCCCTTTGAGAGTGTCAATCTATGAGACAAGGTGTCCGGAATTTTACCATTTGCTGCGACGAACTCGAGCAAATTGGGAGAGTTTTTTCATACCTTCTTTTACCCTTTTAGGATCATTATAACCACTGCCATAAGTTAAATCAGTTTACCTAAATAAATAACGAACCAAAAAAGGTGGCATTAATTTATTAAAACTTTGCTCTCCCATATCACATTATCTGGACTTCCCTGTTGAAAATCCAGCTAAAAGGCCCGGCTTTTGGGACGTTCTTGTGAGCTTTGCCGTGGGCTCTCTCCTCGAGCTTGCGAAACCTTGCCGGAAGGCCGCAAATATACTCCTGGGCCTTCGCTCCTCTCCCGGACAAGCCTCGCATCTCGTCGACCTTCCACCTCTTGATGAAGTGCTCGATGATCTCCGTGTAGTCTCTGGCGGTGTAGACTCCCAGCCTCTGCGCGAGCACCGTGTAGTGCTCGAACAAGTTCGGGTTCTCGCCATCGTACATGAGGTGAGCCGGCATGGAGATCTTCTTGCGCATCATGTCCTCGAAGCCCAGGAGAGCTCCCTCGGGATCCAGCTCGAACAGCTTCTCCACGATCCGGCTGTAAGCACCCTCGTGTCGCTTCTCGTCCGCCGCAATCAATCCGCAGATCGTTGCGAGCTTCATGTCACCGTACTCTTTGGCGTGGCGGGCGGTGTTGCCGTGCGAGATGAAAGTGGCCCGCTCCTGGAAGGACGTGTAGATGAACCCCAGGTAAGGATTGTTCTCGGTTTGTGGATCCTGGTTGAAAAAAGAAACACTTCAATCAACTCGAGAGAACTCTAGAGAACTTTAGAAGTTTAGAACTTTATAGACTACGTACCATGCCAGATCCAATCAGGTACTGGATCGTTTGCTCGATCTTCTTCATGTCCACTCGTCCGGTCAAGTAGAGATACTTGTTGAGGAGATCGCCGTGCCTGTTCTCCTCGGCTGTCCAAGCTCGGCCCCATCGAGCCCAGGCGGTCGGGCTCGCGCCGGTCTCGTCTCTGGTTCCATCCAGGGTGTTGAGCATGGTCAAGTAAGTTGGAAGAGCTTCCTCGGTGATCATGTCGCCAACCAGCACCACCATGTAGTCGTCCGGCAAGCACGCTGCTCGGGCCCGGAGTTCCTTGATGTCGTCGATAAACTCCTCCGAGGATGGCTCCGGGAGGTGCTCTTGTGGCTGCCAGCACTTGTCCACGGGCTTGAGGAAAGTGAGAATGTTGTCCTCGGCCCAGCCATCCAAGGACTTTAACATCTCGACCTTTTCGGGAGGGAGGGAGTGCGAGGCTTGCTTTGTGAGAGGCTTGGGCGTCACTTTCCTGCCGAAGAAGCAGCAATGGCGAAAGTTAGAAAGCTCGCCATGGACGAGCAGACAAAGTTATGACGATGCAACGAACCAGAAAACGATAGCAAACTGAATGAAGAAAACTTGTTGTCGAGCAGAGAAAAAGGAAAAAAAAAATTGGCATAAGAAGAATGAAAGGAAAGAAATGGAATTTAAAAAAAAAACATGAAGAGAGAAAGGGCTTGTCAATGTAGAGGAGAGAAAAGGAAAATCTTGGAGAGGAAAAAAAAATAGAAAAAAAAAGAAGCAAACGACTCACGATGGACGAGAGAGAAAAGAAAAGAGAGAACAAGCCAGTGGCATGCACTCCGGGAAATTTTTTAGCATGCATGCAGCTATAGCTTTCGGATCGAAAAGAGTGATGGAAAACATACTCGTTACTCGTGGTGGAGACGGCAGTAGCGGCCCTGGCGATAATCTTGCTACTGTTCATCCTGCTGGGGGAGATCACACGAGCTCCGCCGAGATCTCTCACACCAAGAGCACTTCCCGGCGCGAGGAGATTCGAGGAGTCCATGAGCATGGTGTTGGCCGCCATTACCTGCACGAGATTTCACTTCGCAGTTAGCCCGAGAATCACACACACACGGATCGCGATTCGCGAGAGCATTTCCACCGCATCTGGCCACAAAGGCGCAAATGCGAGCAAGAAAATGCTAGATCCTAGCTAAGCGCGCGCTACCTCAAGGAGGAGTGGAGTGGATCCCTTGCCGCGAAGATCTCTTGCTCCCTCGAAGAGTGATCTTGCCTCCGCCCTGCTCTGCTTTGTCGCGAGGGAGTGAAGCTTTTAAGCGAGAGATCCGCCCTACACGTGCCAGGCGATGTAACATGGTACATTGTTAGCCCAACGTTTTAGGGTTAGGATACATTTTTTTAACACTTTTTGATGCTGTCACTATTTATAAATATCATTTTCCCAGGTTTGGAGCACTTGTTTTCCTTTACACAAAGACATTGCATCATTTTCTTGAGCCTGACTAAGAACAAGATAAATCAAGCTAGACAAAACTTAGAGAAACAAAGGTGGTCTAAGCTCCTTTACAGCTATCTGTTACAATTCTATAAAAAGAAAACAAATAATAATGAATGTTTATAATCTTAAATCCTCTCTTTCAAGATGGAAATGGTAAAGTTGGAACTCTTGCATTGGCATACACCGCCCAAAAAATTGCATCTCCAATACAATTGGCCTCAATAGTGGCATCACTTGGAATTCTTGCCAAGGTTGCCACCATTTTTTAATTTACACAGCTATAATTTTAGTTTTCCAACACATTTGATGGACAAGCTCTAACCAATTCCCACTAAAGAATTTGCAACCTAACTACATCAACACTGGGTATATGCCCCTTGAAATACATTCTGTTCAAAAAAGGAGATTTTGCATAGGTAGATCACCAAGTGTTCTGCTTACCTACACTCCTCACTCTTGATGCTGCTCCAGTTGGGTGCAAAAGACTTGGTAAACATTTATTGTTATTCTTCATGTATACAATGGCTAGAACATGGCATGACTTTCCATGTATTTGCTGTGTCAAATCTCACTAATGCTTTGTCCATGTAGAATGATACTGGTAGTTGACAACTCTAGTAGCCCCTTCACACAAAATTGACTATAGGATGGTTTGGATCTCATTAACTGCCCTTCAAGGTCTTGGCCAATCAAAGAGCCTGTGTAGATGTAGAGATGGATCTCCATCTCAGGATGGAATAGCCTCAAAATAGAAATCTTTATCAACTTGCTAATTATCTTAATGATCTTTTCTGACTTCCTATACATAGCGAGTTTTGTTTTTTCAACTTGATAAAGCTCAATGGCTCTATTTTAGTCTCCCTGAAACCATTGATACAATTTATTTATCTACCATAACTCAATTTTAACTTTAAACAAAAATGTCTATAGTATTATGATGTATTTAATCTTCCATTGTTGCTAGAAGGCCTTTGCTTCTTATTTAGTGATGCTAATTTTGCTTCTAGCCCTTTTAGCTTCCTGCAAAATTTGATGATAGTATGATCAATCAATCAATATCTGATTAAAAGTTTCTTTTTTAAAATATTATTGTGTGTGTGTATGTATATATATATATATATATATACATACATATATATATATATATACACATACATATATATATATATACACATACATATATATATATATATATATATATATATATATATATATATATATATATATATATATATATATATATATATATATATATATATATATATATACATACATACATATATATATATATATATATACATACATAGATATATATATATATATATATATATATATATACATATATATATATATATATATATATATATATATATACATATATATATATATATATATATATATATATATATATATATACATATATATATATATATATACATATACATATATATGTACATATATACATATACATATATATGTACATATATACATATATATATATACATATATGTATATATATACATATATCTATACACTATTCTCTTTCGGAAAAGAGAATAGTGTAAAATCTATAAATAAATAAATATATACATATATTTATAGATTTTACACTATTCTCTTTTCCGAAAGACGAAAAGATGATAATGATTAAGTGGAACATTTAGAGCTTCTGTTAAGTGATTATAAATTGCTATTAAAACTTGAAAATCCCACAAAACCACTAATGTAGTTACTGATAACTATGACTAACACAAAATCTAAAGCCATGGCATAAACATTAATCAACTATAAAATCTTAATGAATTAGTTGTAACTCTATATATAGTTGCCAAATGCTTAAACTAACTTCAAAACCATAACTTTGAACTAAAGTAAGGAACTTCAAGAGCCATTATAATCCATAAAATGCAATTGTAGTGAATGATATATACTACCTTTAAATTTGTAATCTTCTAAGACCACCATTAACTCGAACTCACAACCATAAGTAGAATTTAGCTTTGCATCTTCCATTTGATCAACATTCGAGACCCATATTAATTCAAACTCATGACCTTCGCCCTTGTTTAGCACTATATATAAAAAGTCAGATTCACTCCATTTATTATTTACATCCTTTTTATCCTCTCCTTGAAAAAAAAAAGTTTTGAAGCATTAACTTTGTTTGAACTTGTTACATTCATCCTCATTTTGCCATCTATGTTCAACTTCACTCTATTATTATATTCATTCAGCCTCACTACATTAAGATTGGATATTTCATTTAGATTCACTACACTCATCCTCACTCCACAATTTATATTGTTCATCCTCACTTCACTATCATATTTGCTCATCCTCACTCCATTGTTGAGGTTGAACCCTTTCTACCTTTGAAAAAAAAAGTTTGAAGTGTCAGGAAACAAATGAGAAATTAAGAAAAACTAAGAGATAAAGAAGTATTGGAAGAGGAATTTTCAGCAGTTGTTAATGTGGAAATAAGGAAATAAAAAAAAGGACATGTATTTAAAGCTTGGAAAACAATAGACTTCCTATCATAAAATACTTTGGCCATCATAACATAAGTAAAAAATTCACACCACTTAACTTCTTCAATACATAACTCACACTTAAAACAGGAAAATTAATTAAAACATTCACATTTTCAAAGGAAAACATAAATTCTTTAGTAGTAACAGTAAAGTAAAGGCTCTTAATGGCACTCACAATTGAGGATATGCACTCAACTTGAAACTCTAACAAAACGGTATACAACCCTTAGAACATGGGAATACTCAATATTAAAATTAATCAAAGAATTTATAAATGAAATAAAATCAAGATTTTGAACTTTATGCATATACTCAGCATCCAGATTAGTACAAGGAGAATAAAAAACACTCAACTCAATACTAGACTTAAAATGAAAAATCATATCATCTAACTAACCATCATTTATACCATACTAATTATTGAAATACCTATATCCTTGCGTTAAACCATCGGTATGTTAAAATTATGCCAAGTTTTGTTTAGCTTTGTTTTGTGTGTTAGCATTAAAGTTGTTCTGTGCATTAATTTCTTTACTCCTTAGTTATATGTTTGATGCTCTAAGATTATTCTAATATTGCTCTATGCTCTTATCCCTTCACTCTTGGGCTAAATGCTCAAAAGTCATTTTGTGCATCAATTCCTTCACACTTTAGTTATATGGTTGATAATTTAACTTTATCTTTTCATTTAATGGCCCAAGGCCTTGAACTTGAGTTTCACTCTATTGCCTTGGCCCATGTATCTAAAGTTTAAGATTCCACTCTATAGTTATCTTATGGTAAATCACCATAAAATAAAGGGTGAAAATCACATATGCTACAATTAAACATTAGTTTTGCATTCAAGTTGTTTTCCAAACTCTTGGTGCAACACAAGTGGGGAATTTATTATAAACTCTTGGCTTTGGACTTCTTGGGAGATCATTTAACCCAAGTCAAAGCCATCCCGTGAGGTTACCCAACCAGTATTATTTAAACCCAAAAACATTTAATCCCAAATATCTTAAAAATTTAACCGATTAAAAAAAACGATGCACTTTTATTCATGGGTTTTTTCTTTTTATATTTAAACTCTTATAGATCGTCTCTTGAATTTTTCTTTTAGTTGTATACACATGTTATTTTGTTAAGGCCCAGGCCAAGCAACCAAAGGATTAGCTTGATCACTGCCTCCAAAGCCAAAAAAGCATGGTACTTCTTTGTTAACTTCTTCACAAGTTTGGTAGCATCTTGATACTTTCAATGCTTGTATCACATTTTGCATCACATTTATTATCTTATGAGCTATTGTAAGCAACCAAAGGGAACGACTCGAGAGATGATCCATAAAGGTTCAAATATAAAGGGAAAGGGCTCATTACCAAGAGTGCACCCCCTTTTTCAATTGGCTAAGGGTTATGAGATAATTAGGGTTAATGTAGCGCACCTGAATTTGGAGCTAAACTCCAAGCCCGTTACGCTACAAAACGAGGGTCCAGTACAATCCCACGAGCACCAGCTCCTCGTATCCAGTACCTGCACGCAAAATGGTGTCAGACGGAGTCTAGCACAATTTTGGCATACCGGTGGCCTAACGCGAGGAGGAGGGTACTCCACCGACTAAAGCAGCGTGGAGCTTGGGCTTAGACCCAAGCCGGACGCAGAACAAGGAGCGACACAGCCCAGCGGGAGCCAAACTAATGTCTCAGGTTGTCGGACATACATTCCAACCACTATCCCTAGTATACATTTGAAACCCCCCACAGCCCCCCCCCCCCCCCCCTTGAGGAACACACGCTTTGGGCTTTCACCCCAAGCCTCCCTTAGTACCAAGAGCTAGTCTCTGGGACAAGCTCGAAACTTACTAAATATGGAATGGCGCTAGATTGCGAATTTGGACACGGGACGAACACCATTGTGTTCAGGCCGACCTCTACATTCCGTAGATATGCCAAATGAACAAATCCAGACACTTTCCATAAATAGCATTTGGGACCGAAATGAGACTAACACAAAGGGCATGATAGCGAGGGTGTTTGGCAGACACGGTAAGATATCATCCGGCCATATTGAGGGACCAATCTCAATATGCGGGGGTTCTTATCACTAGCCAGTGCAAGACATAACGAGACGGGAACTCCTTACCGGGCTAAGTATGCTTAGCTAATAGCACGTAGGAATTCCGTCCTTATGCTCGTCCGGTCTAAGTACACTCGAAATGCCCAGTTAACTCCACTAGCACAAGAGGGGCTATTAAAGGGATCCAACTGTACCAATCTCATGCCGTCATGGCAGTAAGAAAAGAGTGTCCGTAAAGACCGGTCTACAAGTATCTTTTGATACCCAAAGTCAC